AAACATACATAGGAAAATACAATAGAGTAACACAGATAACAATGCAAATGTGGATTTTCCTCACTCACCCACCAGCACACCTGCACCCCACCCCCTTCTCTTCGCCCTAGCGGCCGTTGGTGCACATAGGAGAGTTGGGGCCCTTATAAGTCCTGCTTCACAGGGTCACTGAAGCAGCCTCAGATGTGTAATGTCCGTCACGGGACCTCAGAGTCTTTACTGTGAGTGAGGAGACAGGTGCCCTGTGGTGATACAGGGAGAGGCTTGGCTTACCCTCACAACACGATTAACCAGGTCAGTCAGCAGCAGTCTCCTCTCACTGGATTCGCCAGACGTCTGGACTCAGTGCTTGTCTTCTTTCTTTTCTGCAGGTCCCTCTCTCAGCTGGTGTGATCTTGGGTGAAACAAGTTCTCTCAGCCAGGTCCCATCTCTGTGTTACAGTCTCTCACATGTCCTTTCCCTGGCTCAGCATGTGGTCACTCTTAGAATCCTCCTCCCTCAGAGCTGTGCAGGAAGTCCTGACAGGCCCTGCGATGATGCCACACTCATCTCCTGATTTCAGCAAGTCATGTGATCAGAGCTCAATGTTTTATTAACAGCATACTGAGTCCATGTGCCATCTACTGGGCATTTCAGATAATGCAGCCTGTGTAACTTCACGGGCTACATGCTCCCCCTTGAAAATACTTGCCTTCCACTGGCAAGTCCTAGCCAGGGAGCTTAACAAAAATTCAACAGAAAAAAAAAAGGTTTAGCATACCTACAGTACAGTTAGCACAGTAACATCCTAGCTGGCTAGTTATTTAGGGTAAACAGTCACTAACATTTACCACTTCAGCTAGCGCATGTAGGAAAGTGGCCATTTTAAATGCTGCTTGTGTCAGCGGGGCATAACTGGGCTCTCCTATATTATCATAAACTAGGGCCCTAGGGGGTTGCCGCACTCTGGTGCTGTGTCTCAGTTCTCGCTGGGGGAGAGGATCTTGGGACATCAACTGTGGAACCTCGACTCCTGCCCTCGAAGTAGAGTTTTTAAGGAAGTTCCAGGCACAAAACAGGGACTTTCTGGATTCAACCTTGGAGAACTTTGTGACCCAGGAGAGGTTCCGGGACTTTGTGAAACCACAGGAGTTAAAGGAGGCAATTGTTGTGTTTCTTCAGCGGGTGATGACCACCACTGATCCTCTGCACTGGGAGTTCCCGGGTTCTCCTCTGCCCCATTTCCAGGACTCTCTGCTGGGGTTTCCTCCAGTTCTTCACTACTCTCTTCCTCTTCATCAGTATACACAACTGGAAGCAGATGGTTTCTATGCCAAGCCTTTATTCGGCCCTCCGGGCCCCGAATGTTGTACACTGGCAGTCCTTCCAGTTTGGACACAATCTCAAACAGGGTATCTTTCCATCTGTCAGCCAGTTTGTGTTTTCCAGGCACACCTAGATTCCGGAGAAGAACTTTATCCCCTGCTTGAATCTCCCTATATCTCACCTTAGCATCATATCTTCTTTTGTTCCGTTCTTCCATTTTTGCTGCAGCTTGGGTGGCCAACTCGTAGGCCCGACGAAGGTTTTGTTTGAGGTTCCTCACATATTGAAAGTGTGAAGTTGAATCTGTTCCATCAGGAGACACTCCCAACCGGACATCTATCGGCAATCGAGCTTCTCTTCCGAACATTAAGAAATAGGGTGAGAACCCTGTAGATTCATGCCTTGTACAGTTGTACGCGTGGACCATGGTTTCCACATGTTTACTCCAAGACCGCTTCTCGATTTGCTTGAGAGTCCCTAGCATATCTAGGAGGGTCCTATTGAAACGTTCTGGCTGTGCATCACCCTCCGGATGATAAGGTGTGGTTCTGGACTTCTGCACCTGCAACATGCCTAACAGCTCCTTTATCAACTTACTCTCAAAGTCTCTACCCTGATCAGAGTGTAGCCGATTGGGTAGTCCATAGTGAATAAAATACTTCTGCCAAAGGACTTTGGCTACAGTCACAGCCTTTTGGTCTTTAGTGGGGAAAGCTTGAGCATATCTGGTGAAGTGGTCCGTTACCACCAGCACATTTCCAATTCCCGCTGTATCGTCCTCAATGCAGAGATAGTCCATGCACACAAGATCCATGGGTCCTGTACTTTTCAGATGACCCATAGGGGCAGCTCTCACAGGCAGGGTCTTCCTCTGGATACACCTCCTGCATGTCTTTACATGTTGCTCGACATGTTCCCTCATGCGAGGCCAATAGACCCGATCTTGTACTAGGCCATAGGTCTTGTCCACCCCGAGATGCCCATGTTGATCGTGGAGAGCTCTCAGGACCATGCCACGGTATCGGTGCGGTAGTACCAATTGTTTTCTGTCAGGGTGATCATGATACTTCACGACCCTATAGAGTACTCCATCTTCGAGATGTAGTCGGCTCCATTCTCTTCGGTATAATTCTCTTTGATTCACAGGTAGAGAAGTCAGCAATTTAGGATTCTTAGTCTTTATTGCTCTGACAACTATCCCAATATACCAGTCCTGCGCTTGAGCCTTTCTCTTGTCTTCTGTGGTTATACTGGACCACTGTTGAAGCATGACTGGAGCATGGAACACCTCAGGCACAGCTTCGGGAGAGTGGCTAATGGAGTCTATCCCTCTTAGCTCGGCAAATTCTTCTTGACTCTCGGCCACCACAAACATCTGACAAAAGGCTCCTACCCCCGGCCCAGGGATCTCTTCCCACTCCTCTTCTTCTTGGTGAGGGGGGAGTCTAGGTCTGCGGGACAGGGCATCTGCGCTGACATTCTTGGGCCCAGGCTTGTACTTCAGGCTGAAACTGTAGTTTGACAAGGCAGCCAACCACCTATGTCCTGTGGCATCCAGCTTAGCTGTAGTCTGGATGTAGGTAAGTGGATTGTTGTCAGTCCTTCCTTCGAATGTTGCCCCATACAAATAGTCATGCAGCTTATCCACGATGGCCCACTTGAGTGCCAGAAATTCCAATTTATGGACTGGATAGTTCTTCTCTGCACCTGTAAGACTCCTACTTATGTAAGCCACCGGCCTCAATCCTGCTGGATAACTTTGGAGCAGTACACCCCCTAGGCCTTCCATACTGGCATCCACATGGAGGATATATGGTTTCTCAGGGTCTGCATAGGCTAAGACAGGAGCTTCTGTAAGTCTCTTCTTCAGTGTCAGAAAGGCATCTTCACATCCTGAAGTCCATTTCTCTCCAAAGGGGTCTTTAGGATATGGTGCCTTAACACCCTTTACGTCAGAGATAATCTTCAGCAGGTCATGTAACTCTCGAGCAATCTTTGAGTAGTCTTTCACGAACCTTCGGTAGTAACCACAGAATCCGAGAAAGGACCGCAACTCACCGATGTTATTTGGTCTTGGCCAATTCAACACTGCTTCAATTTTAGCAGGATCTGTGGCTACTCCTTCAGTGGAGACTATGTGCCCCACATAAGTGACAGAGTTCTGGGCAAATCGGCATTTGTCCACTGATAGCTTCAGGCCTTCAGCTTGAAGTCGATCCAACACCTTTAGCAATCTTTGTTCATGCTCCTCTGGTGTCTTCCCGAAAACAATTAGGTCATCTAGATACACTAGACACTCTTTGGGATTCATATCCCCCACAGTTTTCTCCATCAGCCTCTGAAAAGTAGCAGGAGCTCCTGTGACTCCCTGTGGAATTCTGGTGAACTGGAAGAACCCCAAAGGGCAGATGAAAGCTGTCTTTTCCTGATCTTCCTTCTTCATGGGTACCTGATAATATCCAGACCTCAAGTCAAGCACACTGAACCACTGGCTGCCAGATAGGGCGTTCAGAAGATCTTCTATCCGGGGCAAGGTGTACTGGTCTGGCACAGTCCTCTTGTTCACAGAGTACGGTAGTCCACACATAGCCGAACTGAACCATTCTTTTTCCTCACTACCACAATAGGTGAGGCATAGGGGCTCCGGGACTCTGTGATGATGCCTGCTCCCTCCATCTGCTGGAGTATGTCCCGGACATCTTCCACATCTCGAGGGGGTATTCTTCTTGACCTTTCTCTGAAAGGAGTAGGATCAGCAAGTCTTATAGCATGGGTGGCACTCTTAGAACACCCCACGTCCATCTCTGCTCTGGAGAACACTCCCTCTCGGGTGGCCAGATTTGAACGAAGGCTGTCTTTCCACTGCTGTGGTAGGGGAGAATCTTCTAGATCAAAATCTAAAGGTGCTTTCACATGATCCTTCTGTTCTGCACTCGCAGACATGATGGACGAAACTTGATCTAAAAGGTGTGTTACACCAATCTTCTGATGACGATCAATCCGGATTTCCGTGGGGGTTAAATTCTGTACCATCACAGGAAAACTCCGACACCACCTTTTTCGCCAATCTTTTATCTCAGGTATGAGAGTCCACCCCTTCTTCTGATCCTCTTCAGGCAGAGACTCAATAAGGTATTGTCCAGTTCCCCCAACATTTCATGGTGCATTGAGGCTATGGCTCGTAAGGTTTTGGTCTCACCAGGCTTCACAAATGCAGGTTCTGTTCCTGAATAGTGGCACAACCCTGGTTTTGTTGCAAGGGCTAGTCGTCGACACTCTTTTCCTAGGACAGGGCTGACCTCCATCAGTCAGTCTAAGGAGACATCTCCCACTTCTGTCAGATAGGCCCTGAATAAATCCTGTACCATCTTTGCATTAGTACCCAATATTATTGGGGCACACACTTTCTTGGCTGCAGGGCATATCAAAGCTTCCAGCTCCATAGGACATATCATCCCGGTATTTAACTGGGGAATAGTAATGGTCACTTTTATGCATCCCTCCACAGGTTGAGCTTGAGACCCAACACCCCATAGCTGAAACTCTCCTGCAGGTTCCATAGGAATGTGTTTCAAATGACGTTCATAGAAGTCTCTGTAGATAATGGTGACTTGAGAACCTGTATCTAGCAATGCTGAAGCATGAATTCCTTCCACTTGCACGTGTATCAAAGATTTAGGCCCAATCTTGGCCCCTACAGATATGGCCGGGTCTTCCTTCGCTTGTAAGACCTGGTCATTTGAGTATCCCCGAGCTCTGTTGCCAGCACCCCCACATCCACCTCCATGGAATCCGCAGGGCACTCCCGCTGAAAATGCCCTGACTTTCCACATTTAAAGCAGCCCCCTCGGCGGGGTGAATCCTCAGGAAACAGCTTTTTCTGAGTCTTCCTGTGTTGCCCCCCACTTCCAGGGGGAAGATCTGCTCTCTCTGGTGGTGATTTGCATAAAAGCTCCAATTCAGCCATCTTCTTCCTAAGAGCTGACAGTTCTGTATCCTCTTTCTCCTTCTGTAGGGGTGGACACATCTGGTCTTCCAATCTCCTGGCTGTATTTATTAATGTGGAATAAGGCAGAACTTTATCATCCAACTTGGCTCTCAGCAGAATCATAACTGGATTATTGGTCAAACCACCTCTCTGAATTTGCTTAGATAGCCGAGCATCCAACTCAGGGGCAGTGACTGCTCCTTTATGGAATAACTTTCCAAGCGATAGCTGTAACCGGTTGATATAGTCAGTGGCTTTTTCGTGCTCCTTCTGCTTAGTGGCTAGGAACTTAACCAACAGATCATCCAAATCTTCTGATTTCCCATAAGCATCCTGTAAAACTTGTAGATAGTCGTGCCCAGTAGCTTGCCCATTTACTCCCTTGTACAGTCTTATCATGTCTGTAGCGGGAAAACGAAGACTCTCCACCAACCGCTGTTTCTTTATGGTATCCGTACAAGACCATTCCTCCAACAACTGCATAGCATTATCCTTCCAGACCTCAAAAGGCTCTTCTCCTGCAGGAACAGGCTGATTCCCAGAAAACACCTTTAGTTTGCGGTAACTATGGGTGTGGTTTGCCGTCACTATGGCTTCTGAGAGTTTCTGTAGTATGTCCGATACATCACTACCTCCTGTAGGCAGGGTGCGTACTTCAGGGTTGTCTGGTTTCAGTAATGCTGTAGATGGATGAGATTCTGCTTTAGGAGTAATCATCCCCTGTCCTCTAGGAGGATGGGCAGCTTGTTTAGGAATGGCTCCGGCCTTTCCGGAGATGGGGGTCAGGAGCTTAGAATAATTTTCTGTGACATAATCTTTCCGTTCTAATTTAAAGGGTTGTTGCAGTGAGACCCTTTCTTTCTTATCAAGGAGAGCGTACACTAAGGAGCATCCTTCATCCGGGGCTCCATGTAAATGAATGTTGGTAGGCATCTCATGGTCTCCCAAGCCCGTATGACAATATATTAACATGTAAGTTTGGCCTTCAGAATCCTGCAGGATATCTCTGATGGTCGCCATTTCTATTCCCAGTCGAATTTCTATACACAAGATGACGTGATTCATCTCACAGCAGGATGGGACTTTGCATAACATCACAGCTTGCTGTAATGGTACATTTCTTTGCTGGGCCCACTGTTTCACAAAGGAGGGAGTGGCCTGAGGACTTAACCTATTCTCACTGGTTGTACCCCAATACATCTCAGCAGTGCCTCCATCTGTAACGGGGTTTTGGGGGTGCCCCCTAGTGTCTTTGGGGTCCCCAAACCTAGTTAACTCACTATGCCTGACAGGCGGATCCTGAGCCTCCGCTATCTGGGAGCTGGGGTACATGTCTGCGGCAGTGCCTCCACCCAGTGGAGCATCCGGGGTAGGGATGTGGGGTCCCACTGGGAACATACTTGGTGCAATGAGACTGACACAGTCTAACTGGAACTAACTTTATATGGTAAGTAGCAATTGAACAAACATACATAGGAAAATACAATAGAGTAACACAGATAACAATGCAAATGTGGATTTTCCTCACTCACCCACCAGCACACCTGCGCCCCACCCCCTTCTCTTCGCCCTAGCGGCCGTTGGTGCACATAGGAGAGTTGGGGCCCTTATAAGTCCTGCTTCACAGGGTCACTGAAGCAGCCTCAGATGTGTAATGTCCGTCACGGGACCTCAGAGTCTTTACTGTGAGTGAGGAGACAGGTGCCCTGTGGTGATACAGGGAGAGGCTTGGCTTACCCTCACAACACGACTAACCAGGTCAGTCAGCAGCAGTCTCCTCTCACTGGATTCGCCAGACGTCTGGACTCAGTGCTTGTCTTCTTTCTTTTCTGCAGGTCCCTCTCTCAGCTGGTGTGATCTTGGGTGAAACAAGTTCTCTCAGCCAGGTCCTATCTCTGTGCTACAGTCTCTCACATGTCCTTTCTCTGGCTCAGCATGTGGTCACTCTTAGAATCCTCCTCCCTCAGAGCTGTGCAGGAAGTCCTGACAGGCCCTGCGATGATGCCACACTCATCTCCTGATTTCAGCAAGTCATGTGATCAGAGCTAAATGTTTTTATTAACAGCATACTGAGTCCATGTGCCATCTACTGGGCATTTCAGATAATGCAGCCTGTGTAACTTCACGGGCTACATAAAAATCAAGGTAGAGCATGCAAGATTGCCCACCCCAACACTCAAGGAACAAGGAGAGAAACATAAAGTACCACTCTAATTATGGCACCATAACCTTTAAAGAGGCTCCCCCAGTCCCCAGGTAGAAATCCGCAGGCATTACACACTCCCAAAAACCAGAGGCAGGAATGAGATTGATATCTCATACAGGTGGTACACTGCCAAACCATCACCAAATCCTTTCTGGTAAGCCTAGAATCAGAACAGCATCTTAGGACTTAGTAACGCCTTGCCATGATTGATGTGTCACTTGATGCCATGGGGTGTCTTGTCATAAATTCTCAGCACCCTTTTTGCCAGTTCAGAGTACTTGTTGTCACGATTCGGGGAACCCAACACGCTGGCACACACACACACACACAAAAGGTGCCGTAACGGACCTTAGAGTGGCCGGGCTAAGCACACACAGAATAGTCAGGAGACAAGCCGAGTAAGGGAAACCAGAAGACAGAATAACGTGAAACAAGCCGAGGTCAAAGGGTAGGAGAAAGTCACAGAGTCAGATAACAAGCCAGAGAGTACGTAACCAGAAGCACAAGTAAGTAGCAATACTAGAAAGCAAAGACCACAACAGGGCAGGGAGGAACAGGAAAGGTAAGTATTTAAACCATAAGGTTAATTCTGATTGGATAATTTCCAATCAGAATTAACAATCACACGTGGGAGATATCTAGACCTCCCACTGTGATTAAGGCACTGTGCCTTTAATGCCGGGTCAGGTGACTGACCCCGGCGTGTATAAACCTGGGCGGTCTCCCAGCGTGCAGCGTCATGTATGCTGCCGCTGGGGGACGTGGAGGGAACGGCGGGCGGCATCCGAGGCTGGAAGGATGCCGCTCGCCGGACCCACGAGGAGGAGGGGACCGCGGACGGCTGGAGGGTGAGTACCGCGAGCGGAATGCAGCCTCCCCTCGCAGCCGCCCGCGGGATCCCGACATTACCCCCCCCCGAAGCGCTTCAAAGGAAAGCGGGCATGAAAGGAGCGGACCAAAGAGGGAGCGTGCACATCAGAGCTCGAAACCCAGGACCGCTCCTCAGGGCCGTACCCCTTCCAGTCCACCAAATATTGCAGCCGACCCCTAGAAACACGAGAGTCGAGAAGGGCAGCCACCTCGTACACGTCGCTCAGAGACAGCGCGAGGGGAAACGGGCCGCCCGAGGGGACGAGAGAACCGGTTACACAGCAAGGGCTTCAAAAGCGAGACGTGAAACGTGTTCGGGACACGCATGGAAGGAGGCAGATCAAGGGAGTAGGAAACGGGTTAACCCTACGTAACACCCTGTAGGGACCAAGAAACCTGGGAGCAAATTTCATCGAGGGAACCTTGAGACGGAGGTTCCTGGAGGACAACCATACCCTATCACCCGGAACATAAGAAGGGGCCACAACCCTACGGTGATCAGCAAACTTTTTCTGAGCAGCTGCTGAACGAGAAAGCGCAACATGGACCTGATCCCACGTATTCCGCAAAGAGGCGAGGTGCTGGTCCAAGGCGGGCATTCCCTTGTCGGAGAACACACTGGGAAGGACAGAAGATCAAAACCCATAAGCAACCTCAAAAGGACTTAAGCCAGTAGACGAATGAGACACCGTATTCCTGGCAAATTCAGCCCACGGAAGGAGGCGAGACCAGTCATCCTGATGCGCATTAGTGAAGCAGCGCAAATACAATTCCACAGACTGATTATCACGTTCGGCCGCACCATTAGATTGCGGGTGATAGGAGGAAGAGAACGACAAGGAGACCCCAATCTCAGCACAAAAGCCCCTCCAAAACTGAGAGACAAATTGAGGACCCCTGTCAGATACGATATCCTGAGGTACCCCATGCAAGCGGAACACTTCTTTGGCAAACACCTGAGCTAACTGAACCGCAGAAGGCAGTTTCTTAAGCGGAATAAAGTGCGCCATCTTAGAGAACCTATCCGTCACAGTCAGTATCACCGTCTGACCATCAGAGAGAGGCAGGTCTACAATGAAATCCATGGATAAGTGGGTCCATGGTTTCTTGGGTATAGATAGAGGCATCAGAAAACCCTGGGGTTTCACATTAAGGGACTTACACTGCGTGCAGACCTGACAAGCCTGAACAAAATCCACTACGTCTCGCTTGAGTGAAGGCCACCAGAACTGTTGAAGGAGGCCCTTGTAGGTTTTGGTAACCCCCGGATGACCAGCAGTTTTGGCTGTGTGAAATAAAGTTAACAACTTTTTTCTGTCATTAGCTTCAACGTATAGTTTACCAACCGGCGTCTCAGGGGGTGCCTGGGTTTGGTATGTCTTAATACTATCAAGGAAAGGTGAAGAAACAACCAAACGGGTAGCAGCTATTATCTGAGACGCAGGTACAATAGGTTCAGGATTCGGGTTAACAAATTCTATTGGTTCATGCTGCCGAGAGATAGCGTCAGCTTTGGCATTACGGCAACCAGGTCTATAGGCAGTGGCGTACACATGACCCATGGGGCCCCGGTGCAAAAATTGATCCGTGGGCCCCCCCGTGCGCGCGAGCCGGGCCGCAACACATGGCGGTTGGCACCTGGTTGCAGGGGTTACAGGGCTGCGACCCCTGCGACCGCGGTATGTACGCCAGTGCATGCAGATGCACACACACTTAAAGGACCACTACAGACACCCAGATCACATCAGCTCAATGAAGTTGTCTGGGTGTCCGGGTCCTCAGTTTTAACCTGCGGCTGAAAGCATAGCGGTTTCAGGAAACATGGGCAGTAGCCGCGGCGCAGGGCCAGCCTGCTGCCACCAGGGGCCCCAGGAGCCCAGCCCACCAGGGCCCCGAGGAAGGCTGGCCTGCTGAGCTAGCTGGCAGGTAGCGGTCCAGGCAGAAGCGGCGCGCGAGGCCTCAGTGCTTCCTCTTCCCTTCGCGCGGGATGCGGGCGGAAGGCCAGCGTCATCTTCGGCTCGGTATGCCTCAATGCGATGTGAGCTGAAGAAGCTGAAGTGCTCCCTGGCGCCACCTGCCCGACACCCACCAGCTGGGGTCAGCAGAGCCCTTCAGCAACGCCCCAGCAGCGAGCCTGGAGAGCGACGAATCGCCAGCCAGCGACCCCTCGACCGCCTAGTATGCGCCACTGCGCCGCGGTAATAACATATTGGAAGCGTGAGAGAAATAGAGACCATCTAGCCTGCCGGGCAGATAACCTTCTAGCATCAGGCCTTTTAATGTAAACACGGGCGTGCACTGCAGCACTGCAGCTTAGTCAACAATGGCAAATCATATGGTAGTACGTGATGTCGTTGCAGTGGGGGGGGCTGCAAACTTTACTTTTGCCTAGGGCGGCAAAAATCCTTGTACCGGCCCTGGCTGGAGGGGGCTGTGTGAGCTGTGGCTGCACAGTGTCCCATGGTAGTTAGGGTGCCGTGCGGCCAGTACAGCTCACTCAAGCAAACAGCTGATAAACTAGCCGCACGGAGGAAATGTGTATGTGTGACTGTCTGCCTGTGACTGTGTGTGACTGTCTGCCTGTGAACTGAGTGTGTGACTGTCTGTCTGTAACTGAGTGTGTGACTGTCTGCCTGTAAATGTGTGTGGGGCTGCAGGGATTTTGTAGAAGGGGGCGCTTTCAAATAATAGGAGCCAAAATAAAGAGAACCTTTAAAAAATTTTACAGGTTTTTTTTTTTTTTTTGGAGTGGGTGGGTGCCAAGCACAGGATCCGCCCCGGGTGCCAAATGCTCTAGGTACGCCCCTGGTAATGATATATCCTAGGAATTGCACAGAGGTCTGATCGAATAAACATTTTTCTAACTTACAGTAGAGTCCGTTC